ATATGGGAAGATACTTCAGCTGGAGGTGGAGGCCATCAGTCGCTCTGCTGATAAAGCAGTGGAGCACAGTGAGAAGATCTTCACCGAGCTGATCCGTCTCCTGGAGAAAAGACGCTCTGATGTGAAGCAGCAGATCAGATCCCAGCAGGAAACTGAAGTGAGTCGAGTCAAAGAGCTTCAGCAGAAGCTGGAGCAGGAGATCACTGAGCTGAAGAGGAAAGACGCTGGTCTGGAGCAGCTCTCACACACAGAGGATCCCACCCAGTTTCTACTCAACTACCCCTCAGTGTCAGCACTCAGTCAGTCTACACACTCATCCAGCATCGACATCCGTCCTCTGACATACTTTGAGGATGTTACAGCAGCTGTGTCAGAGGTCAGAGACAAACTACAGGACATTCTGAGGGAGACATGGACAAACATCTCACTGACACTGACTAAGCCCAAGCCCAGAGATGGATTCTTAAGATATTCATGTGAAATCACTCTGGATCCAAACACAGCAAACACATGGTTGTTATTATCTGAGGGAAACAGAAAAGTAACATCGAAAAAACAACTGCATTATTTTATTTTCAGTCAACAACAGTCTTATTCTAGTCACCCAGACAGATTCAATGGCTGGTTTCAGGTCCTGAGTAGAGAGAGTCTGACTGGACGTTGTTACTGGGAGGTGGAGTGGAGAGCGAGAGGAGTTGGAGTAGCAGTCACATACAAGGATATCAGAAGAACAGGGGAGTCAAATGAAAGTCGATTTGGATACAATGACAAATCCTGGGCATTACATTGTGACCAAAACAGTTATAATTTTTGCTACAACAACATCCAAACTCCCGTCTCACGTCCTCGGTCCTCCAGACTTGGAGTGTACCTGGATCACACAGCAGGTATTCTGTCCTTCTACAGCGTCTCTAAAACCATGACTCTCCTCCACAGAGTCCAGACCACATTCACTCAGCCTCTCTATGCTGGACTTGGGCTTTATTGTGATGGAAACTCAGCTGAGTTCATTAAACTCAAATAGACAGAAGTGACTTCAGATGCAGTTTGTTAAAATCTTTATTTTAAAGCTGAAACTTCTTAGTTTTCCATGTTTGTTGCTTGGAGCCTAAACTGACATCTGTCCAGATGAAAATGTAAACTTCTCTGTGCTCTAAATGTTGGAGGAATATTTGCATTGATGTGTTTGTGTGTTGTTGTGTCTCCTCCAGAGAAATCACCAGACTTTCCTTTATCACTGAGGTTTTGTTCTCACCACTTTGTCCATGTGTAAAGAAATGTATAATGACACTGTTGTTGTCCTAGTTGATAAAAATATCTGGAGACCTCATGCATGTGCAGCCGACTCTTGTTTACTTCAGATGCTGTCAAACCAGAGAATCAGACAGATGTGTGTGAGATAGAGAGAAGGGGAAGTCCAACATTCTGTGCCACCACATCAGCTGGTGACGCTGTGGTCAGAGAATCAGACTTGTTCAAAATCCTTTGCAGCTTGAGAAACTGTTCAGCTCTGGTAGAAATAAAACCAGCAGGAAAATGGAGAATTCAACTGATGCACTGCTCATTAATTTGTTTCGTTCAACTCTAAACCAGTATAACCACCCTGAGGTTTGCCTGCCCCTTTGCTTCACCTGATGTGCAAACGCCCCCTGGCTGTTTCCATTTACCGTCTGCAGAGGAAAGAGGAAGACAAAAAGCTCCGTGGTGACGTGAGACCACCCCATGTACGTTCTGAAAGCCACATGTTATTTAGACATTAGTGAGGCCACTCAAGCACCAGTAAAGTCAAGCTGAGCAAAAAGACAAGTGTGCCAGCGGACGTCTCACACAGCAGCACAGGAATGCTAAAAGCTCCCCTGGGTGCTGTAGTAAATGCCTTTAAGTTGTCGCTGGGGAGGTGATAGTCGTGTTCTCTCCTCCCCTTTCCACTCGCAGTGGAGGCACATCTGTGACGCTGTGAGGTCACAGGTCAAACCTCTGACTTCATCAGCCTTTGTAACTGTGCTTCAGATTTTGTTGATGGTAATAAAATAACAGTAAACAAGTCTGTTGTTCTTGTCTTCCTTGGTTTGAGACTTGGACTGATCTGTCTGATCTCATTTTAAGTATGTTTTTATCAATTACTGGTGATAAATGTTACATGTAAACTGGTTCTAACTGGTTTTCTCACGTAATGTGTCCAGCAACATTGTCTCAGTCAGGACTGGGATTACTGGAACACTCAGGTTGTGGGACTGGGTTGCAGTATGCTGGATGTTTTGGCGTCAGTGAAGCTGCTGTGCAGTGTGTCACCATGTCCACCATTAGCTAAACATGTTGTTACGATGTTTGCTTTGTACTGATCAGATGCTGCAGCTGCTGAGTTAAGTGCATATAAAAACAGACATGCTCTTCGAGAAGCCACAGTTTCTCTACATGTTCAGAAGTAACTAAGTCCCTTTCCTACATGGAACAGGCCTAAGTGACACCGACTGCTTCAATCTGTTGACTGGACTCGTTACATGAATCTCCCCATGATCAACAACAGGTCTGTTTAATTTTTCTCTCTGAAGATTTGGGAAAGAAAGAAAGTAATTTAGACATAGATGCTTTATTAGTAATATGAATTTTGTTGTTTGTTTTCTGACCCGTGAAGGTCTGAATTATCTGATTATGTACATTTTATAAACAGTTTTTTAATTAAGTTTTAATGCTGTGCAGGGGAATGAAACTAAGCCAGGAGGAGACAAGTCATGAAGGTCATGCGCTGTTTAATTCTGATTACTGAAATGTGTCAAATGAGGCTTATTTGCAGCTTCATGACATGTTCACTAATTGCAGAGTCTAACTCTCTTTCATACTGTATCTTACATGTTCTATCCTTCCTACCCCCCCACCCCAGTGTCTCTCCATTTTCCCTGCGCTGCTGAACAAAGCCCAGGGTCACAGAAGGTCAAACCTACTGGTGACATCTGCTAATTGTCCTGATGGCCGGCCTCTCTTCTCCTGTCAATAGCAGTTTCTCTGTAGGTGTCTGTGGCTGGGAGCACAGCGGCAGCTGCCACCGTCGTGACTCTTAACCCCTGTGGTCCCTGCTTTACTTTGTGAGGAATGGCCACTGTGTGCATTAGGAAACTATAACCAGTAATGTGGATTTAAACATGCGGCTGTTACTTCAATTGTAAAGTAAACGAAGGCACATAAACCTGTGGAGTGGAGGGCAGATGCAGCCAGTTAAACATGAACATGTGGAGGAACCTAACTAAGTACATTTAATCAGGTACTGTGCGTAAGGTGGACTTCAGTATTTCCATTTTGTCATACTTTATATTTGTATTCCACAAGTTCAGTGGGAAATACTGCACTTTTTGTTCCACTACATTTATTTACTGACGGCTTTGCAGAGTGAGAGTGTAAAACCACCTGTTAACGATTAAACCAGTGGTTTTCAGACTTTGACTTCTGACCCTGAGAGAGAAGCAGTGTCTGGGTGTCAGTTTTGGGGGTCACGTTTCATACAGTTTGATGTAATCAGAGGTAAAATCACCCAAAATTTAAACAAACATTTAACTATCCATATGCATTTGAGCAGCAGAACATTGCTTTTTCTTCTCACATTACTAATCTGACGGCCCTTTGAAGGGCCCCGACCCCTCATAATATAAATGTACTTTTACTTTAAATTCAGAATGCAGGACTTATAATGAAGTATTTTTACACTGTTGTAGAAGTATCTGACTGAGGAGTAACGTGACGGTTGTACATGTTCTTAACTCATCTGTGGGTTGTCATGGAAACCACTGATGCTCGAATCTCTGACTCTTACTATTATGTATGTGCTGCATTCACCCCAGGTTATGTCTAAATAACGCCCTGCTTCCTTACAGTTTCTTTAATGTAGTTGTAAGGTTGGAAACATTAGTCTGACAGTGTCATGTATGTTCTTGTTGCAGCTCTTATTTCCTGAGTGAAACATTCAAATCCAAGCCTGTGTGTTTTTATGGCTCTGCTATTCCACCAAATCAGAATCAGCTTTATTGGTGTTGGGCACACGAGGCATTTGACTCCAGTACGATGGCTCTCAAAGTGTGTGTACAATGTTCTTACATGAAGCAACGAGCAGACAAGAAAACAAGATGAGACAGAGAACAACAAAAAACAAAAAAAGAAAAGACAAAATGTGCAAACCAGAAAAACAAGTGCATTAGGAAGATTCTTATAAATATGGAAACATACACACACACACACACACTATAGATGCAATGGAAATATTCTTAAAGTCTGGCACATTATTTTATACAGTGCAGGTCAAATGTTTGGACACTTACCCACTGAATTTGACTTTGACTGGTGATGGATACATTCAAAATCAGCCTGACGTAGTATCTGGTCTATCTAAACTTCAGGATCTCCACTAAAATTTAAACTACACTTCTGTGAACTGGAGTAAAGTTTGGCTGCAAGGCAAGGCTTTGTACCAGCTGAGCCCAGAGTGATCAACAACCCTTATTTTTCTTAGGCCTAGTTTTGATATAAACAAATATAACCAACACAACTAAGATTTAGTGCTGCACTCTGGATAAGAGATCCAGATAAATGTTAACATGTGGGGCTGCACCTCTTACCTTTCACTTACATATATCTGTCAGTTATAGTTTAGATTAAGAAACTAGTTGTTGTAAATAGTGGGTTTCCAGCGCTTGCTCTGACACACACTCTAAACCTCAGATAAAATTTTAAAGGATCAAAAACAGAGAAAGCAGCAGCTCTGTACATCTGTGAAGCTGAACCCAGAACGTTTAGCACTTTCCTTGATAAATGCCTTAATCAATTAACAAAATGTCAGAGTAATTGACTAATGCAAAAATAAGCTGAAAAGAGTTTTGTAAAATTATTAACAGGGTTTGCAGGAAGTGGCCAGCAGCTCTCATTAAACGTTGTTAGCGGGCTTCTAATTAAACCGGAGTGCTTTGTGGGGACAAATGGCACAATGGAAACTGGAACGGGACAGAAAAGGCCCCAACTTTCTCTTTGAGGAGTCTATGAATTAGCATCACAAGCCGCGTTCACGTGTCCTACCAGTGTAAAATCTCACATTTGCAAATAATGACAAGCCAGACCACAATAAGGAACACGGAGGGACAGAGACGGGCACATTTTAACCAGATGTCCAGCAATAAATAACAGGCTCAGCCCCCCCAGCTGAGGGGACATTTACATATGAAGTGCCCGCGAGGGCGGGTCCCACGGGACCGGAGCGTGCCTGCGCGTCCACATGGGGAAGACACATGATCGTTCCTGCAGGACGAGCTGCTTCTTTTGGGTAACTTTGTAAATGAGATGTAAATGTGCAAGCGCGGCGTGTGCACACGCTGTGCATATAAACCCCAGAGGAAACAGCCACGCACTGGGTCCTCATGGGTCCACAGCGAGCCGAAATGCAGCCAGTCGCAGCCAAACTACCCCAAGTCCACAGAACACCCTTTTCTGTGGAGGATATTTTGGACCCCACAACATTTACAAGGAAAATAATCTGTGCTGATGATGCAGCAACTACAGGTGAGAGTACAGCTCCAGGAGGCCTACGACAAAATCTTTGTGGATTTAGCCTGCAGATAACTAGCGATGGTAGTGTTTTAAATGGATTTATTCATGGATTTGTCTTCTCTTAGAGGCCTCTTCCCCCAGAGATGACCCCACAGAGCAGCATCCTCCGGCTGGTGACGGAGGACGTCCTGGGAAGCTTCAGAGGTCGAAGGCAAAGAGCCGACGGATCCGCACCGCTTTCACCACGGATCAGCTACAGATCATGGAGCACAGCTTCCAGAGGTGTCACTACCTGTCGGTGCTGGAACGGCACGCCATTGCCTCCGCCCTCCGCCTCTCCGAGAACCAGGTCAAGATCTGGTTTCAGAACAGACGCACCAAGTGGAAGAAGGAGCGTCAGCAGGGGAAGGAGGCCGAGGTGGAGCACGGCTTCACACCAGCCATCTCCTACAGTTCGCTCTACTGCCAGCCGCGCACGCAGCTCCAGCTGTTCGCACCGCTGCCGCTGCTGCCTTATCACCACTATTACGCATGATGCGCCAACCTGCACCGTGACTGAGCACATGTAGCCCACCAGACAAATGTCTGCACAATGTGGCACAATAACAAAGCGGACTGACATCAGAGAACATGGATAAGAGATGGTGTTTTCTAATGTAATTATAGTCGACTATAATTTATTTTGATAAATATTTGTATTAAAGCTTTTCTCGTTGGTTTCTTGCTTTATAAAATGACTTAACTCTCCCTTACCTGCCTGAGAAGGTTTCATCCCTCACACAGTACCAGAAAAGGATAAAAGAGATATTTAAAATAACTTTATGGAAAATCTCATAAAGAAAGTGACAGGTTGGTGGTTTCAAGATGCATTGTAGATTTATATATGTTCTAAAATGGAGTAGTTAGGTCTTATGAAAACACCAGTGATGGCCATGTCAGTATGATGGAAAATGATGACCCTGCCCTGTAATTCTCACACAGACACAGGGACAGTGAGGAGCATGGTTTGAGATTCAGCTCTGTGGGTTTCACCAGAGCCAGCACACACTGACCACATAGATGTTTCTTGAACCAACAATGACCCATGTGGTCATACAGAAAGTGCAAAGCCAGAGAACAGAAAATGTGCTGCTCACATCCAGAAAGAGCTGGTAGTTTCACACAGAATGAGAAGATGGGTTGACTAAACCAAGGCTAACACTCAGCCATGCTAGCAGCCCCGTGCTTTGAGCTAAATGCTAACACTTTCATCATTCAGCACATTAGGATGCTAATGTTAGCTAATTAGCACTAAACAGTCTACAGGTATTTTTTCATAAAAACATTGAGCGTCTGCAGGTATTTTTTCATAAAAACATTGAGCAAAACTAAATTATGACCTGATGGTGGAGCTAGATTAAAGCTCACTAAAGTTTTTACAGCTCGGGCTCAGGGCAACATGAATGTCTGAACCCACTTTCATGACAATCCAATAACTGGTGTGCTATTTCAGTCTGCACCCAAGTGGTGGCCCAAATCCATAGAGCAGCACGACTAAAAAACATTTCATCAATACATAAAGAACCAGGGTCTTGTATATGCATGGTATAAATTAACATTTCTAATGCATACAGTATGTTGCTTGTTTTTCTCCTACATTATGCAGAACAATTAGATTTTAGTTAAAAAGAGATGCAATGTAAAGCAAAACAAAACTTCTTGAACGCTCTTCTAGTGGCCTCAGATTCATTTGACTGGTCCCAGAGAGGTCTGAGGGTGGGTATATGTCTTTCTATGGTTGTGTGGACAGATTTTAGTTCAGTACCATCGTTGTGAGGACGTTTGCGCCAGTCATCAGCCCTTCAACAGGCTGTCTTAACGCTCAGACCTTTGGTTAGGTTAAGGTTAAACTCATTCTGCTTTGTATTTTACAGACACGCACAGAAATAATCTCTGCTTTAATCTGTTTTCATGCACACACACGTGCTCCTGAGCACATCTGTATGTCATTTAGCACATACTCTTTTCCTCAGATGTAACAGCATATTCACCAATGATGGAGAAAGAAACAAATCAGCAAAGTATTTAGTAATGAATCACTGGAGAAGCCACGGAGCATCAGCATCCAATAAAATAATCCCCTTCGCACTGACTTTGTTCAACATCCTAATCATCAGATTTCTTGACTCTAAATAAATCATCAAATATCCCCAATAACTTTAATAAGTTTAAATGTTATCATCAGCTCTCGATGAGCTGTTTTCCTGGCAGGCTGGAAACCACCTCCGTCACTGAGGGATTGGAAACAGATGAAGGTCAAAGAAAACAAAGCAGACGACGGGGAAAAGACGAGGCTTTTGTTACACACACGGAGTTCAAAGTCAAAAGTGTGAGCTGGGAAATGAGTCAATATCTAATGGAACAAGTTAGAATGTTTTCCATGGTGCATTATGAAAACAGACTGATCCTGCCAATATGTGACACAGAAAAGGCCTTTGTCCTTTTCTGTAGTATGTAAAAAAATGCTGCAGAAAGCTGAACAGATAAACACCAGTCAGCACCGATAAGGCTTAATGGCCCAAATAAAATACTAATCGACAGGTTGTGACAACAAATAATCCATGTAAATGTTGAGTAAATGAATAATCAGTAACAGGCTCAGATCACAGTAACATTTACATACGGAAACGTACTGACACTGTGGGTAGGGAGCCTGGAGAGAGGAAGGAAGAGAGACCTTAGCTTTCAGGAGGTGACATCCAGAGAAGGCGCAGGCCACATCCAGGCAGATCAAGCAGAGATCGGTCCTCATCCAGCACTTCAGTGGTCCACACAGTCAGTCCCACTCTGCTCCTTAGTTTCTTTCTGTCCTCTGCTACTTTCATTTTACTTTATAGGCGACTTTCAGATTTAGGTTAAGATGTATCTCCTCCTCCTCCTCCTCTCTACCTCTTCTCCTCCATGCTTCTCCAGTTAGTCAAACCCCTGTTCCCAGGTGTGCACTCTTCCTACTTTTCCTTTCCTCCCTCGACCACATTATACATTTCAGCAGGGGTGACCGGTCCCAGTCCTCGGGGGCCACTGCCCTACTTGTTTTCCAGCAATCCCTGCCCTACCCACCACCTGGATCAGGTGAGTTCAGTCAATCAGAAGCTGGGAGATAACAGTTCACATGGTCTTTCCTCACACCACCTCCATCTAACATGCATTCTTCCAGCTTCTGATTGACTGAACTCACCTGATCCAGGTAATTGGCAGCGGCCCTCAAGTACCAGGACTGGTCACCCCAGCATTACAGTAATGTGAAACGTGTCATTCTGCCTAATGAGTACTTTTTGTACTTTAAGTATATTTTGATGATAATACTTTAGTACTTTTACTTAATTAACATTTCTACTGCAGGACATTTACTTGTAGCAGAGTATTTTTAGTTTAACCAAAGTAAAGAATGTGAGTACTTCTTCTACCACTGCTAGCATTAGCATTTAGCTCAAAACTCAGCGGTGCCTAAGTGACACGGAGCTGCTACATCGCCCAGACTTTGTCTTTGTTTTATCACATGCACCTCCTGCTTTGTTCTGTAATGTACATATAGTGCCAGCTTTTAATGTCTGCTCTGGATGTTGTATTTGTTATAAATGTATTATATGTTTAAGTTCATAACAAATGCTCTAATCTCTGGAAGTGAGACGTTCAGGCAGAACAGAATGTCCTTCAGCTGACTTTATATCATGACTCAGTTTTATCATCTGGGAGTAAAGAGTCACATCTGCTCACAGTTTTTCTGAGGTAATGCTGTGTGACCCTGCTGCTGACCGAGGGGTAGGCCGGCATCACAAAGAGTTATGGAATTTCTTCATCTGGGTCCAGGATGACGTCTTGTTAACATGAGCTTGTTACTGCAAAAGACATTGTATGGTTTAAAGTCTCGATATAATCCAGATTTTCATCACAGTGATCCTGTAAAGTCTTGGACAGTCTGCACAGTGCAACAGGTCAACACTGACTCATGCTATCTGCAGAGTAGGGGGAGCCAGGATTTCATTGTTTGTTTCCAGGCCAAACATCAGACCAGTCGGAGCCGTCACAATCCCCAAACATATGTGATTTTCTAACAGTTTTTAAAGCTGCATTAGTTGATATGCACATATGAACAATGAATTAAATGAGTGCATATAACACACAGTAATGATGAAGATAAATAGTTTTCTAAGGGTTTCACTGTGTTTCTCACCTCTCTGTTTTGGTTTTACACCTGTCAAATCAAGTCACATTTTACTCAAATAGCCCAATATCACAAATCACACATTTACTTCAAGGGGCTTTCCAGTCTGCACAGCAGATGGCACCCTCTGTCCTTAGACCCTCTGATGTCATCAACCTCATCTCCAGCTGCTGTGTGCACAGGAGATGCCCAAACAGCCGCTGTCCACGACCTGCTCAGCGGCAGACGGCAGACAGATGCAGTCGGAGACCAGCTGGGGAACACAGCGGAGCATTTAGCAGCTGAAGAGCCTCAGGAGAATGGATATTAAGTATGGCTCAGACAGGACTCAAAGTGAATAGTAATGTTGCTCTGTCTTCTGGACAGGGCCCCTAAGCGGCCAAAAAATCAATTAATGCACTATTAAAAAACGCCATCATAACTTATTGGTCAGCAGCAAAACCCTGGAGTGTATGTAGCTCAACACTGGTGTGTTTCACTGGTAAGAGGAAGACATGTTTCTCACCGTGCAACTGACCAAGGAAACAGCAGCCTTCGTCTCTTTATCTTGCCCACATGGTTTATAACCTCACTTTTACTCTTTACGTCTCTGGTTCGTTTTAAAAGTATTTCTGTCCAGGTTTTGTTTCCTTTCTGTCTGCACCACAGCAACAACTGCAAACCGTCTTTCTTTAATTTTCTTTCCTTCCTCCCTCCCTCGTAGGAATGTCCCATGTGGCAGACGCTCCTCCCCTCTGCTCAGAGATGGGTGAGGGGTAAAGGGGGTGAAGGGCCATGAGGGAGAGATGTGACTGGGATATATGTGGAGGAGGAGGAGGAAGCAAGACGAGGCAGGGAGGTATGCTCCTCTGCTGCTGCTGCTGAAAATCCATTTTGGCTCCTCATGCACGTCCTTCGCTCCAGCACAACGACGAGCTGCTTTAAAAACTCCCAGCTGTGCACATTTTCTCCCTCTCTCCATGCTGACTCTCCATCAGAGAGGAGGAAGCTCTGCAGACCGTCTGTCCTCTCCACAACACACCCCTTTCACGTCTTCTGAGACTTCGTAAGGACCTCAACGTGTGGTGACTGGTGACAGCTGAGCCTGTGCATCTGTCTGAAATTCAGGACTATTTCCGGAGTGTGTCTGGCTTGTTTCATCAAAGCTGCATTGTGTGTTCACTGGAGAAATGAGGGCTGAGGTGCTGGTCATCTGGGTTGGTCTGACCCTGTGCTGCACCCTGGTCTGTGCTCGAGAAGATGCTAAGGAGAACAAACTCTCCAGAAGCCAGACTCAGGTGAGAGACGCTCGAGGACTTGTCAAGCACAGGAGACAGGGGGAGGAAGGACACACTGGGATGTCAGACGAGCCAGCTGAAGTGGTGTTAGAGGAGAAGACAAAACCAAAGAAGAAGAAAACACCTGAGGAAATTGAGGCAGGTAAGTAGGAGCCTCTACAAAGACACTACGGCCAGCACAGACACCCACAGCAACTCTGCTGCTCAGATGATGCTCATCTGCGATTGAATTTAAGCATTTAAAGGCTTGAATGTGTAAGTTTGAATAAGACTTTGCTTGATCTTTCCTGGCCTCTGCTCTGAGCTCTCAGTCATAGCTTGCAGGCAAGACAAAGACAGGAAAGGCTGCAGTCACCCTGTGAGGCAGGAGAGCCAGAAACCAGAACAGTGGAGGAGCTGGAGGTTTTGTTTTGTTGAAAACAACTCTGTGATTCAGAGATGACAGAGCAGAAAGCTGCAGCTGGTGGTCTGACATTTTCTTTGGCAGCCTGACCACACAGCTGCTTACACAACCTGCTTTGCCTGCCAGGAATACATGTTGTGTACACAACTCTAAGTATCTTGTTTTGTCAGGCCCAATTATCACAAAATGGGCTTTCATCATGAGACTGGCATCTGAGCTTCAGTCGGGTCTACAATGAAGGCACATCTGTGAAAAATCCAGTCTGAGCAACAACAGAAATATTTCCACTACGACTTTCCAAAAGTTGGCAGACAGGATTTATGAGACCCACTTTCAGTAGCACTGATGTTCTGAATGTTAACTTTCCGCCATATGAAGCAAAACCACAGGCCTAGCAGCCAGCGTTACTCATGTGTGGCTGATGTAGGTTCCACAGAAACCCATAATTTTAAAAACCCTTAGACCCAAAACTATGTTTTATCTGGCTCAGGCTTTGTTTATTCAGGGAAGACTTTGCTGAGCACACAAAATCTTTAGCATCCCTGCTGTGCAGTCATATTTCTACATTCACAGCTCAGGGCTAAGTGCTTTGCTCAGGAGAGACTCTAGACTTTCCTTGCTGCCTTTTCTGCCCAGGTTGTTGGAGCCTATCAGGCAAATGACCAGGGTTATCTTCTGTTTGCATTTAGTGTAGGATTAACCTGTTACCCCCTAAAGCCAAGCCTGAAGCTGCCAGTAAAGCTGGATATACATTTGATGTAGCCATGCAGTGGTCAGTGCTGTCGCCTCACAGCAAGAAGGTTCTGGGTTCAAGCCCCAGCCGACCCGGGGCCTTTCTGTGCAGAATCTGCATGTTCTCTTTGTGCCTGTGTGGGTTCTTTCCGGGTGCTCCGGCTTCCTCCCACAGTCCAAAAACATGCAGCTTAAGTTGACTGGCGACTTGCCTGTAGCAGTGAGTGTGGTTGTTTGTCTATGTGTCAACCCTGTGATAGACTGGTGACCTGTCCGGGGTGGACCCCGCCTCCTGCCCAGTGTCAGCTGGGATTGGCTCCACTTGTTCTTATATAACTAGAATTACATCAGGTCAGCTCTGTCTTACCTGATAACATGAGTCAATAAAGACTACTCCTGTGCAGTCGCCCTCTCTACATTCATTATTCACTGTGACGCCAGTGAACTGAACATCTGCAGTGTGGGCGACTGAGTCTTTCTTCCTAACTTGCTTCATGTTGTTTTTATTACCAACTGTCTTGACCTGCATCAGAAGTTAAAAGGGGAAACATCCAGTTTCACCTCCAGACTCCTGAAATATTTTTATCCAAGTGCTGTCAGAGTTAAACAGCTACATTAAAATAAGTGCATTACAGCCAAGCGATGTCTTGCGCATAGTATCTGTAATATATGATTTTTTGATTTTGATTTGATTTATTCTTTCAAGCATATAAAACTGTTGATATGACAACACACATATTTTTACATATAATCCAATATCAATTTGCTTATACCTAGTACATGCTTGAATGGAGTAGGAAGAAGTCAGACTTATCCAGTCCTACCCCATGACATCATCTTACCATCATTGGTTTGCAAGCAGTATCCAACCTCACTGAGCTCGAGCTGTTTTGCAAGGAGGCATGGGCAAAAATTTCAGTCTCTCGATGTGCAAAACTGATAGAGACATACCCCAAGCGACTTACAGCTGTAATCGCAGCAAAAGGTGGCGCTACAAAGTATTAACTTAAGGGGGCTGAATAATTTTGCACGCCCAATTTTTCAGTTTTTTTATTTGTTAAAAAAGTTTGACATATCCAATAAATTTCGTTCCACTTCATGATTGTGTCCCACTTGTTGTTGATTCTTCACAAAAAATTACAGTTTTATATCTTTATGTTTGAAGCCTGAAATGTGGCAAAAGGTCGCAAAGTTCAAGGGGGCCGAATACTTTCGCAAGGCACTGTAACTATATGATTAGATAGCAGATTTCTAACAGCAGATGTCTTTATTGCTTCTCTTGTCTGTTCTGCGATTTTTCACATCTTCCACATTGTCAAGGTTTTGAACAAATTCTACAACCACTGAAATGCCTCCAAAAGGAAAAAGAGCTAGGCTGGAGAGCGCAGAGGAGATGAAGTTCTATCTAGAGCACAAGGATAATCGAGAAGCCTTTCCTGCTAATATTGTGCAATGCAGCCAAAGTTTTTCCTTTATAGGAAAAATCATAGCTCAGACTGCTCTCATAAAATGGTTAAAGGCTAAACAAAAAAAAAAAACTGCTTGATCTGTACACTGAAGAATGTCTAACACATACAGCTCTAATAAAGACCCACCTGCCCTTTTAGAAATGAGATCCTTTAAACAGGTAATTGATAATATTCATAGCAAAGAGATTGAGAAAGAGATTTCTGAAGCATCAGAAAATATGAACCTGGAAGCTCTGCAAGCAGAAAATAAACAATTAGAGACCCCATAACAAATAAAAGAATTAACTTAGAAAGAATCCAGCAATCATTTAAAACTTATCACAGATCTCTATATACTCAACCAGAAAAAGTTAATGGAACATTTTGTAAAATTTCTTTTGGCAAAGAGGATAACAACTACCTTATTTAAGAAATCTGAATTAGACAAATAAACAAAAGTAATTTCAGCCCTTAATGCAGGAAAATCTCTCCAGATACCAATAGATGTCCACCAGAATGGTAAATCGATGAGGGTGGCCACTGCATATTCTGATTAATATCATCATGTATAGAGGCCACACTCGGAGTGATAGTGTATCAGCTGATCAATCATTTGATTTACATTTCAACCCAAATCTCAGCTGTGTAAAATTCAATAACCACTGATTTTACTGATTAGGGTCACAATGATCACAGTGTTATAACAATAATTATAGGAAAGTCTGGTGATTTCTCTGGAGGAGACACAACAACACACAAACACATCAATGCAAATATTCCTCCAACATTTAGAGCACAGAGAAGTTTACATTTTCATCTGGACAGATGTCAGTTTAGGCTCCAAGCAACAAACATGGAAAACTAAGAAGTTTCAGCTTTAAAATAAAGATTTTAA